TGGGACAAAGAACTCTTGTCTGTTGGAGCTAGGTGTGAATGTTTCAACTGACCATCTTGATTAGCATTTGATTACCTGGCAGTTGTTTGGTGTGGCTTGTTAGTGCCTGGGGCAATCTTTTGTTGAGAGGTGATTAGATGTTGTAGTGAAATTGCTACTCTGTGTTAAAGTTTTGGTATATAGCTCTATGTTTACATATGGCAGATAGGGAAGAATAGGCACAGACAGGGTAGCAACAGCAGAGATAGGATTCATTTGCATATGTGAAGCCGATTGGTCATATGCAGATTAGTGTAGGCCCAGGATTTGAAAAGGCTGCTAGGCCAAAATGACAGTTGGGGAGAGCAGAGGTGAACATTCCAAAAGGGCAAAGCCAAGGTTCTAAAAGAGGCAGTTAGAGTGAGAGAGTTTGAAAATGACAGTTAAGAATCTGTGTGTGAAGAGGAGAGTTGGTTTTTGAGTGCCTGATAGTGCCTGATGTGTTAAAGACTTCTGATATAGAGAAGCAGTTAGTTAAATAGAGCTCGAGTTTTAAGGAACATAAAGAAGGCTGGTGTTGCCTTAGTTCAGAATATAATTCAGCCAAGAGTGTGTAAAGCAAGTAACATGTTTGTGAATATGAAACATTGATAGTTTATTCAGAAAAGTTAACCAAGTAAATGATACTGACTGTAAACCTCAAGATTGCAACAAAACACAAATGTAACCACAAGCGTTGGAGCCAGAAGTTATAAATAAACTGTGTTACTTAGTTATACACAAGAGTGTTTCATTGCCTGTGATATAAAGTACAAAGGTTTAACAGCACACAGAAAGTCCCAGCCAATATAAAAGAAGAAACTGAATCAGTATAAGGCATCAAAGAGGTTTTTAAAGAGGAAATAGTCTCTCTCCCTCGCCACAGATGTCTCTGATTGTTTCCTCTCTTGTTTTGCTGTTGTGATTTTAGAGATTTTTAATACTGGTAGCCAGATTTTGTTCATTTTCATGGTTTCCTCCTTTCTGTGGAAATTGCCTTAGGCACTAAAAAGCCACACCAAACAACTGCCAGGCCATCAAATGTTGTGTCCAAATTTGGTGTCAATTCGTCCAATGGTTTTTGAGTTCTGTTAATCCCACAAACGAACATTACATTTTTATTTATATATATATATATTTTTTATTACGCAAGCCTCTATTGTGCTGGGGAACAAACGGCAGTGCATAAAGGCATGCAAATAAATTCCCATTCATTACCTTTGACTCGCGTGACACCTTGCAGTTTCCCGATTTTCCCTTCAATGGTACTGGTACAGGAGTGGCAGGTCATTCCCTCCACTTTGAGCCTCAGCGCGACATCTCCCATTTGGGACACGTTCGCATCTTCGGGGGCTCTCTCTCGGGCCGCATAGTCCAAACTCAGCCCCGGCACGATTTGGCCGACCTGCTTCCCGTTGATGACAGCGGACACAAAAGTGACCACCAGGGATTTCTTATCGGAGGAGCTTTTCACGTCCAAGACGCCCTCAGTCTGCAAGAGGCGGCTGCGGATTTCGTCGAGGGCGGAAGCGGCCTGAGCGGGAATGGCGAGGAACATGGTGTCCACTGGGACAGGTTGTGGGTCTGCGGCTGTAGGTGCAGCAACAAACCCCATGTCCTCTATGGCTTCCCGTAGGGCTTCTGGAGTTTGTTCTTTGGGGTTATAAATAATGGCCGCACTCTTGTCTCGAAGAGAAACCTGGCAGGAAGAGGAACGCACACACAAACTTCAGACAACTAGGCCTAAGTAAGATTAACAATTTCTTTAAAGAGATCAAGAAGCGTTGTCTTATTACAGTGACACCTTGCTTCGTGTTTTCATTCGCCTAAGAAGGAAGTGTAAGCTGATATGCCTATGGAACCATAAATTAACCTGGATTTACCTGTAAAAGAAGATTGGCTGGCCTGTTGGCTTAAGGGAACATTCCACATGCAAAGATTATACTAATCTCCAAGCTTTATGCAAACTGGCAAATACAGAATACAGAGTTACGCTTAGTGCTTTGAGAGAATCCAAGCCAATCCAGCTTGCTAGGAAGTATTTGTTGGAGTTCAGCCTGTGATTGTGTCTAATGATCTGGATATTGGGAATGACCATGAGCTTCATGTATCTAATAATGAGGTTGTTCTATGCACAGATTGACAATGGGATTCCTGTTCAAAGTGTCTTTTCTGATGAGAATGTTCCTGAAACTACGCACCCCGAAACTACGGATGATCTCCCCCAGCGGCTTCATGTAGATGTTAAACAACATGGGGGACAGTATAGAGCCCTGCGGGACCCCACAAGACAATGGTTGTGGGGTCGAGCAGTTGTCCCCCAACAACAACTTCTGAGTGCGATCCTCTAGGAAGGACCCAAGCCACTGCAAAACAGTGCCACCAAGGCCCATTCCCTCGAGGCGTCCCAGAAGGGTCGACGGTATCGAAGGCTATTGAGAGGTCCAGCAGAACCAACAGAGACACACTCCCCCGTCTAGCTCCCGGCGAAGATCATCAACTAAGGCGACCAAGGCTGTCTCGGTACCAGACTGTGCCAGATCTAGATAATCCGTGTCTTCCAAGAATACCTGGAGTTGTGAAGCCACCACACATTCCAGAACTTTGCCCAAGAAGGGGAGATTGGAAACAGGCCGATAGTTAACGAATTGAGTGGGGTCCAGTGATGGTTTTTTCAACAGTGGTTTTATTATAGCTTGTTTTAAGCTCACCGGAATACTGCCTTCCTGAAGGGAGGCATTAACCACCACCTTCACCCACTCGGCCAATCCCCCTCTGGCCTCCTTTAGAAGCCAGGATGGGCAGGGGTCTAGGATGCATGTGGTTACCCTCCGAGTATCTTGTCCACATCCTTAGGTTTCACCAACTGAACTGAATCCATCAAAATAGGACAAGCAGGTGCTCTTGTTACATCCTTAGAGACTGCCGCTAACATGGTGTCCAGTCCAGAACGGATCAAAGCGACTTTGTCCGCAAAGAACCGAGAAAATGTTTCACAGCGGGCCGTCGAGTTGTCAGGGTTCCCATCCGGAACAGTGGGATTTAATTGACGACTCGAAACAGCTCAGCCGGTCAGTTCTTCATAGGGCTTGTTCTCCAGACCCTTTATCATTTTAGTTGCCCTCTTCTGGACACATTCCAGCTTGTCAACATCTCCCTTCAACTGTGGTGCCCAGAATTGGACACAATATTCCAGGTATGATATAACCAAGGCAGAATAGAGCATGGGGAGCATGACTTCCCTGGATCTAGACACTATACTCCTCTTGATGCAGGCCAAAATCCCACTGGCTTTTTTTGCCACTGCATCACATTGTTGGCTCATGTTTAACTTGTTGTCCACGAGGACTCCACGATATTTTTTACATGTCCTGCTCTCGAGCCACGCGTCCCCCATTCTGTATCTGTTGGGGTTCAGCCTGTGTGTGAACTTGAACTTGACTCTCTCATTGTATTTCCTGATGCCCATGTGAATTCTGAGGCCAATTTAGATGAGGATGGTTTGAGTAGTGAAAATTCCAAAGCACTGGAAAGTTAAAGTCAAGATTCCCCTGAGAACATACATTCCGAACCAAGCAGAGACGGTTCACTCCCTTTTCCTCCCAGTTTTAGCTCTCCAGAGAATCAGGCACCTGGCCTCCTTAATGAGGATAGGTGGGGGCAGATTTGGCAGAGTCGGGGAGAAGCTCAATGTTTACACAGGACAGCCAGATTGAAAGAAATCCAAACAAAATCTTCAGGTGTGTCTCGTAATAGATTTCTTGGCCTTAAATATGCCTGGGATGAATACAGCTTCAGACCAGGCATCGTTCCACATTCATGTGCCAGCGTTTGCAGGTCTCCTGATTCAAGTGGCCTTGTTCCTCGGAGGCTTTCTAGTTTTGCTAAGTACGGTTAGTGGATTGCTAACAGATTCTAGGATTCAGCAGTTTTGCTGTGGGTTTCATGATCTTGTTTATGGACATTTCTTGTTGCTGATTTTTATGGTGGCTTTTTACTTTGCATTTTTTCCTCTATTTTGTATTCATCTTTCATCAATAAAAAAGGATTGTTTTCCTGAAGCCAAGTGTGGTGAATTGTTGTCTGAGGGTCCAGTTTCCTGCTCTGGGTCGCAACAGTATCTTTGCATGAACTTTGATGGACTAATTTCCCGGACTACTTGTTTCTACTTATTTTTCTACCTAATTGGATTTACCTATTTTTATGGAGTGTTTTTTTTATTGCTACTGCTTTTTAAATATCTTCAATAAACTGCTTGCAATTTTACTCAGCTGTGTGGTGTTTAAAGTCTTCCTAGCTTGGAGTGGAACAGTATTTTGAAGCGTGACAGGAAAAAAAAAACTCAATTTCCCAACCAAGAGAATACTGGAAGAGGCCAGAAACAGAAGCGTCCCATCTGAACCCAAAACAGCCTCTGCTCTTGTTATCAAACCTGCTAATGTCATTTGCTTCCCAATAAGAGAGGACCAAATGCTTGAAATCCAATTTCCTTCCCACAGGCACGACTCTTGTCCTGCCATTTCGATTTTTAAAAGGGTAAACTGACGCCACCAAAAGGCCCATTGATTTAGCTTCGAGGTTGAAATTGTCCTTAGGCAAAGCACAACCAGGAAGCCATTGTTGTGATCTAATTACACAAACGTAACCTATTTAAGCATCTCTGTTCTGCCTTTGGCTAGGGCTATGCTTATTGGTTTACCTGCAATTCTACACAGGATGACCAAAAAGACAGGCTTTCTTACATGACATTAAGAGGACAGATCTTCTCCCCCACCCTGCTTCCGCTTTACAACTGGGCCATTGACACTTATTCCATCTTCAAACACGTGTTGTATGTCTGCCTGTTCAGCCTGTGATTGTGTTTGATGTTCATTACAGGAATGGGGATGATGTTCCTGATGGTGGGCCTGGGCCTGTTGGCAATGGGAATGCGGGTTTGCCTGGGCCTGAGTGAAGCTCAGAGGAAATGCCCGAGCAGTCTCAGGAAGATACACAAGGCCACATTCCTGGGAGAGGCCCTTCACAGTCTTTCTCAGAGCAACTACCAAACAACTACCGTCCGGTCAGCCTCACGTCGATACCAGGCAAGATTCTGGAAAAGATTGTGAAGGAAGTG